ATGGTGGAGGGAGCTGGGTTGTTGACTTTGGAGAAAGAGGGCTCAGGAGGGACCTTATCACTCACTATGACTACCTGAAATGAGGTTGTAGCGAGATGGGGCTCCATCTCTTCTCCCAAGTAATGAGTGCTAGGACAAGAGGAAATGGCCTCAAGTTGTACCAGGGTTGCCTGGCACTGGAACAGGCTGCTCAGGAAAGTGGCTGAATCACCATCCTTGGAAGTTATTCAAAAGTCAGATGTGGCACCTGGGGGACATGGTTTAGTGGCACAGTTGGCAGTGCTGGGTTAAAGGTTGGACTTGATGACCTTGAGGGTCTTTTCCAACAAAAAAAATTCTGTTATTCTGTGTTTCTGACTGTTTATTTTTCCTTCTACACTCATGACTAAACTAATCCCAAAGACAAATTAGAGCAGTTAGAAGAGTAGGCACAACTAAAAGAGCTAATATTTCTGTAGTATAATTTGTGTCTCTCTGCTTTCCTTCTTCTAAATGGCATAGGAATAACCTTTACACATGCTGGTGTTCCCCATATAACAAAGTGATTTCCACGCACTGCTGTGAGAGACTGCAAACTTTGTTTTTGCAAACTTTGTTGCTGCAGCAGCAAAAAGTGTTAGGTGCTGAGAATCCACCCAACTGACACATTTACAAGCCCAGTGCAGACCAACCATCTATGTTATTGATACCCATATTGGTTATGATCTCTGCCTCTCGCTCATTTGGGGGTAATCGTGTATTCAGCCCACAAACATTAGCAGGAATAGACATGTGAGTTGAGCAGACCTATCAGCCTGCTATAACATGTAAAACTCTGCCATGTCCTGTTAGTTTCTCAAAGTGCTCTTGATGGAAAACTTTCCATTTAAAAAGCTGGAAAAAAAGCTTTCACAAGTATATGTGATTATAAATCTCAAATGTTTAACATAAATTGAACCTGAAACACCTAAGTGATGAGTTTGTGAGGCTTTTTTATCCACCAAGACCAGATTTTAAGATTATGCATCTGCACAGCTGAGAATTGCTGAGGTTGCAAAAGCCAGACGTAGCAGGAAACTTCATTCTTCATCCTCTTAGAGGTGTTAAAGATATCTTTATGCCCTATGGGAGAAATGTGTGACTAAGAAGGCACATCTTCATGTGAAAAAGTGAGTTCTAGATATTCTCTTTGACAAGGTTGTGCAGATTTAGGTCACTAACTGGGTTGATGAAAGAGGTGTTGTATACAATGTGCAAAGCAATGTTTAGTTCAGCTTAAGGGTTTGATCTTGCTTCTGCTTAACTCAACCTAACATTTATATGCTAGCAGCCAATTTCTGTTAGCTGCAATCATGGATAGGCAGCAAACTTTTTGAATAACTTGGTATTTCTAAAGACCCAAGCAGTTCTGATCAGTGTACTGAGTATTTCAGCACTATGTAACTGAGATCACGAGCTCTTCAGAGACTTGGGATTGAGGGGAGTGGAAGGTATCCCTTATAAAAATGTCTTTTCCTTCCTTTTTGAAATACTCACAATGCTCATACACCTCAGGAAGGTTACTAATCTAGCAGCCTGAACAAATAAAAAGCTGAAGAGCATGGGATCCAGAATTTCATCAGCAGTTTCCCCTGGTTGCTTTGCAGTTTAGTGATCCTACTAGTGAAATGGTGGGAGTCAGCAAGCTGAACACAACTAATCAGCCCAGCTATCAAGAAATTCTACAAGTTAGAGTAGAATCACTCTGGAAAATGGACAAGATTTAAGCTTTTCTACTTTACCTTTTCTGGAACCAATGCCCTCACAGCAATTTTGCAATGGCAAAATGCCCCATTAGAAAAATTTAAACTTTTTTCTCATTGTTCAGTGAGTGACACTGTGCCCTATGTACAGTGCACTGTTCAAACTCTTGACCTAAATACTAAATAAATAACTGATTTGTGGGCATTTTTCTGGCATCCAGTGTGGTAGCCTGAAAGTGATTCAGAAAGACCTGCAAAATTTTTCTTTACAGCCTTCCTCTAACATGAAGATTATTTAACCCCATATTACAAAGAGAAAAGTAAGGAATGGAGACCCTGAGTTGCCTGGGACCTGATTTCTAAGCACATTTGCCATTACATAAAATGCTACTGATTCAATGCCACATTTCTATTGACCATATCTGGATTTGTGAGTACTCAATACTTCTGCAAGTCAGATACAGGTGTCTTTTAAAAAAACTTGAAAATTAGGAACTCAGAGCTGGCACCTGTTTCTGAAAACTTAACCCCTTGAAGTCAGACTTGAAACAGAAATTCAAACTCTGTAAGATGAGCATCACATGAATGGAAGGATTAAGGCACCAATGAAGGCTTAAGTGTCTCAGAATGGGATCTGAAATAGTCAGAAAAATTATAAGAAACAGTGTGAAGTCAGCAGTATTCACGTGCTGCACACATAGGTGATCCAGAGCAGGTGATGGATGAGCCTTGAAAACATGAAAACTTGAGGGAAAAAAAAACTTAGTGAGTTTCACAGAACATCCTCTCTCTCACAGAAAAGCTACTGGAAGACCTGAGCCTTGAATCTCTTTATAAAACTTCCTTTTATTAAAATTCTGTGTTACCTTTTCTTTCTGGGGACTAAATATGATTTGCCAAAATGTTTTAAGATGGTTGATACAAGACAAACACTTCCCTTCCCTCTCTGAATGATAAAGTAGCGGTTAATGTCAGGAAATAGATGCCCTAAACTGCCTCCCAAGTCTGACCATGCGACTTATTATCTGAGAGGGAGATTAACCACAAGGCTTCTGGGTACTGCCCAAATTTCACATCAAAGATGTGCAAGAAAAAATTATCAATACAACAACTCAGGGAAAGATGAAAATGGCATGTGTGAGGACAAGAGATTCTCTAGCCTAGTTACAGAGGCAGTCAACAAGTATAAAGTAGTAGACATGGCCTGGAATCTACTCTTTAGATTGACCCTTGGAGTTATCCAGTGAATACTGTGAAATACTGTCTTTGAAGACAAGACTAGACATGAGGTCTTTGTCCTTCTGGCTGAATGGTATTTCAGGTGTCTGCTCCTCTTTTGTCCCCTTCTTCTTGCTCTTCCAGCTTCTACTGGCCAGGTGCAATTCAGCCCAGACCATACCTGCTAGCATACTACCAAGCTAGCAAGGAAGAAAGTGGATAAGCCTTTAAATACTTTTCAAAGACAGTGCTGAAGGTACATGTTCTTTCTCCTGGGAGAGTACTCTAGAGAAGGAGTTACACTGTTCCCTACTCCTTGACCTCTTGAAAATAAAGTACTTGGATTTGTAAAGAGGAAATATAGTCTTACTGATGTACTTTAAGCATGCTTCTCACTGGCACCAGGACAGCTCTCTCAGTCCTGTCAAAATCCAATTGTTCTACTCTGGCAAATGGATATCTACTCCATCCTTTTACTTAAGTATCTTAAGTACTGCTATGTTATATTATAAGAAGCAACTATTCCCCAATATAATTCCCCAACAGTCAGAGGCTGCATTAGAATTTTCCCTGTTTGTAGTTGAAGCTCTGAAGTTCCATCCCAGCTCCATTTCAGGCATTTCTCATGTATTATTTTCTTATGATGGTGACCTTTTCTCAGCATCACACACGTTTTTCTCAGCATCTACTTTTAGGTAGAATCAGAGGCAGAATCTTATTTCCCAGAACATCTCTCGGTTACTACAATCACAAGGCTACTTTGCCTTTTCCTGTAGCCCTATATCTGAGTCAGAATGTGTCCTCCAGCAGCACGGAGATGAGAGCTGAACAAAGACACAGGCAATGGTCTCCCTCTAAATGGGCTGTTCATTGATTTTTTTGTGCTGAAGTATTAATCTGTTATATTTAGACTTCAGACTCTCAGGAATATACCACATGAAGAAGGGTGATTTTACTACATGAAAAGTGTGTCAATATTAGTAAATTAAACACTGTCAGAACAAGGGCCCAGGCCATGGAATTCAATTGTTTGGGCTGTTACAGTTCTGGCACAGTTTTGTCTCACACCAGCTAATGTTCCCTCAAATAGCTCTGGGCCATGCACAACTTCTTGCATAGTTTAGGACTTATGACAGACAAAAGACCATTCCCCAAAAGGAGTTTGGATGCAGCCATTATGTTTCAGAGGCTGAAAACAGCTATTACAGTTGTGTCAGATAAGGATCAGGATATGACTGGTCCCAGTAAATGGATGTAGTGCAAAATTACTGCTGGTTAAAAACATTTTCTGTCTAGACTTCTAGAGAATTCAGACATACCTGCTCTGCCTTTAGATTTCTTTTTTAGGTTACTGAGAGCTGGAGATTTCAGGGTTTTCTCACAGATATTTGAGGAAAAGAGCTGAAAGGATTACACCTTGCTATCCTCTGCAAACCTGCTTTCAATATCAGTAACATGTAACCCAAAGTTTGTCTTCTTTCTGTTAACTGCTCTCCAGAAACCACCTTCAGTCTTCATCTACCCCAAGTTTGTACTACCAGTTTTCCTCCTCTCTTTTTTTTTTTTTTTGCCTTTTTCTCACCATTTCTGTGCTTACATATCCAGAGTTTCCTATCCTACCTCTCACCACTGCTGCTATTCCAGGAGGATATCCCTTTGACCCCTGCACTGCTTGACTGTCAGAAGGTGAAGTGACAAAAGTGCAAAAAAGGCTTATTCTCACAGCTTTCAGCTACTGAACCACTGCAGTTCTGAAATCAGGTCCACTCGGTGTATCCAGGATCCTGAGAGAACAAGACTTCAATTGGACACAATTTAGAAAGTCTCAAAGACCAATCATATTTTTGAGAAGTTGGGGGAGGGAGGGGGAAGGCAGGAAAAGAAAAAGTCTTAAGAAGATTATTCCTTTCTTTGTGCTCACTCACCTACTCAAAGCAGAAGCTTGTGTTCCTGAATATTCCCTTATTGCCTCAGCAACTGCCTCATACAGCTAAACTCTGTGGGTAACATCCTGCCAAAGAAAATGCAAAACTTTTCATCTTAAATGTTGATCAGACTTACAGGCAGCTCCCTAAGGAATTTGTCTCATCATGCCATTGCTGATGTTTCCGTACTGCAGCAGATCAGATTTCCTCTCTGAGTAAGAGCTGCAGAAAGAAACAGAAAAGAAGTCTTTTAAGAATCAGTTGTTAAAATAAATAAATAAATAAATAAATAAATAAATAAATAAAACACATTTAAAGATAATTATGAGCACTGACAAGCACTGATAACACTGTCTTTCATAGCTTTAAATATATAGTTCTCTAGCTGTAAAACATACCTGAGTGGGACTACTCAAGATTCAGAGTATACACATCTGAAGGTGAAGATAAAAGAGCACATATTTTTTGTTATCTTGATATTTTCCATATTACTTTTGCAGATATGAATCAGATGCAGTGTATCTGGTAGTAAGTAACCTTATCTATTTCTTCCTGACAATACCGGTGCATAATTTCTGTTCTTATTTCAAGACTTAATGAGCAGTTTGGAGAGCAAGGATTTTCAATCCACCACCTGTCTGAGCCTGAATTTCTCATGCAGATGCGAAAATGTGACAAATATGTGTGGCTCTTGCTGACAAAGTTTATAGATCCCTTGCCCGTCTGAACAACTCTTGGACCCTCATTTGTCTCTGCACAAAAAGACAGAATCTCTCTGTCAGGATATCAGTGAGATCTAAAACCCAGCATTTAAAAGTTGAGCTGCCGCAAGAGGCATACATACATCACTCTCTCTCTGTGTCTGAGTAACTCAGCAACACTGAAAAATAAGACTTTTGATGGAAAATTTCCATAAAGACACAAGGCTTCCAATCAAAATGCATGAAAGAGACTGGATCAAACTGACATTAAAGATGTCAGAAAACTGACATTCAAAGATGTAGAAAATGAATCCTTGAATATTTCTGTTTGATTAGCACCTAAATTTAGACAAAAATTGAATTATATTACCAACTTTAAGCCTATTTTATAATAACAACTTTAACACTGAGTCCCTCTCAGGTTTCCTGTGTATAAATAGCAAGCGCAGGAGAAACACTAACTTGACCTTCCCATTTGAGAGCTGACAGTAAGAATAATCAAGCCCAAAAAACAATAACAAAGACATTTACTTATGAAGTGAGCTCATTTAGTTCAGGAATTTTGGAGGTAGTAGTCAAGGGCCTAAGACCCTCATTTCCATAGTCATTTTTCAGAGGAAAGCAACATTTTCAAGCTCCTTTTGCACATCCTTCTGTACATTTGAAGTCTTTGTAAACATTAGTTGTGAGCAGTGAAGCCCCTGCTTCAAAACACCTATTGTTCTGGAAACTGTGTCAATATGAAGTAATTTTATTAGGCAGCAGTGCATGTGCAAAACATCAGCACATCTTTTAAATGCACTGGGACATAGTCTTGATATGTCTTCATTTTTGAGTAGGACAGAGGAGGTTACCACAAGATAAGTTCTTGAGGCTTCTTGTGCCATCGAGGTTTCTAGCCACTTGACCAGAATACAGGGGTTACTGTGGGAGACCAAACTTGCCATACAAGGAATGACCTTTCTAGTATTTGGTTATTTTCAGCTCTGTTACACATAACTTGTACACATAACATATGCCTCCCTCTGACAGAGAGATGAGGAGTGCACCCTCTTCCCACATCAAAGATACTGATGCTGAAAGAGAGCACTGAGAGCAAACATTTTAAATTACAGAAGTTGGCCTTTTCTGTGCTTATGGTCATCAGTGAGAGCATATTTATCCGCACAGATGCATCTGAGTTGAACACAAACCCACACTGAAAGACAGTAGGTGAATACACATTTTCAATATGTACCTGAAGGAATACTAAAAACTGAAGGCAGAAGCAGTGGGTAAGCTTCTGGTTCGTGACAGGGGATGCCTGGGTTTGGTTTTCTCTTCCCACACAAAGCTGTTGAGCCGTGCCTATACAGTAACTCGGAAATGTGACTGCAAGATGGGTAGGCACACCTCAGCCAGCTTTACTCTAGCAAGCTACAGCATAGGCTGCAAGTCTGTGGCAGCTAAGGCCATAGAGACCTGTAAGGAACAGCTAATTGCTTAGCATCGATGTTCAAACTGAGACGACAAAGGCTGATGCAAATGCTTCTATCCAGGTCATAGTCTCTTCCCTAGCAGAACGGTGACATGCTCTCTAGTTGTGTCTGAACTGAAATACAGCTGTTTGCAAGGGAAGACCTGGGTTTCTTGATCAGATTGCCTGCACTAGAGAGCTGTGAATACCAGGGCACAAATATGGTGTCAACTGGGATTCATCTGAGTTCCCCACCTGTAAAAGCAGTGAGAAAACTTCCAGTGGCTCACTGAGTCTGTTAAGGGTGAAATTCATTGGAGAGGTCCAAGCACTACCATAGCAGCAATCTCACAAGTATAGTGGAAGTGATTTAGGAGTGAATGGAAACACGGATGAAAATTATGTGTCTGAATCAAACAATTGCTTTAAAAAATCCTAACTAGATCCTCCCAACCACTATGTATAAAATCCAGAAAGTGTTTATACCAAACATTCAAGGACCCAATGTCCAAACACTAAAACTGATTATAAGCAAAGACTTAAAAAACGAAAAATGCCAAAGATCTGAGTATCCAGGGTATGACTTCAACCAGGGATCAGCACAGCATGTACAATTTCACTCTCTGTGTGGTGACCTGCTGACAAAACATTATTACAGTAACTGTCCCGCAGATGGATATTTTATGCTTGTTTCTGATCTATTAGAAAACAAAACTTCACACAAATAGTCTCATTCCCTATCTATTAAGAGACAACAAATGCAGTATGCAAGAGTGCACTGTTATGAAACTTCCTTCTGGTGCCTGTCTGTCTGAGTTCAGTTGTTATGCATCCAAAGACCCCAGTGAAATTATATTGCTTTATGATATGGTTCCACAGTCACTTCTGAGTGTATGTTTGGTTACTGCAAACCTCAGGAACAGTCTCAGGATGAATACATATACATGCCCCTACAATAGCTAAAGATAGATATCAGGTTCAGATTAACAAATAAAACTGGTCCTAAATTATCTGTTGGGTTTTTTTTCTAATTTTTTTCTCCCCCAATATGTAAAAGCTCATTCTTCCTCCTTTAAAAAACACAGTTGAAGACACAGTATGATTTTTACTAACCCCCTCACTAAAGCTAATTGTGTACTTAAACCCCTTTATTTTGATAGTGGTTTGTGCACAGTGAACTCCTTAAAACTGTTGGTAAGAGTTTTCTTTCTCTTATACTGCAGTATTTGCTGTAATAATTCTGACTTCTAAATATGTGCAACATCATTTCTTAATTATCATTGCTCTATTATTAAGCCAAACAGTTCTTCTTTTATTCCTACAGCTCACAGTCATCTCGTACAAAGACACATATGTATTTCTTGGATTGCAATGAACTTTGTTCTCCCTTCAGATGTAAATAACAGGAGGGAGGAAAAAATCAGTCCTGACTGAATCTGACTCTGCTGAAAAACAATCTTGAATAAACAATGAAGAAGTGAAAAGCTGTACTCCTTACCTGGTCTGGGATGTACAGTGCACCTTGAAAGCCTCTTAAATGACAGAGAAGAATTAGAAATAGTTGAAAGTTTGTACTCATCCAACCAGAGGGCTCAGGAAATGACTGTGTATTTTGCAATGATTAGCTCCTCCCTTGCTTCTAAGTCTTCGCTTTTTCAAGTACAGTAAAAAAAAAAATCCGTCTAATGCCATGCCCTACACATGATTTCTGTTTCACACTAAGAATACGCAAGTGACCAGAGGAGATGACTCTTATCACCTCCATGGAAGAGAAAAAATTGCAGTGTCTTCTGCATAACTGTGACCAAGTACATTTTACTGCTGAGTGACACTTATGTAATGAAGTGTAGAAATGACTGGGTAACGGCTCGAGCTCTCATTTAATAGAAGAGGCTTAGACCAATATTGTCAACATGATTTCAGAGTTGTGGTGCCCAACAGAGCAAGGTAAAAAAAACCCCCAGGCTATTTGAAAGAGTGGTATCTATTGCAATCTGGACAGGCATTTGATGTACATATGGGATATGATACTTTTATAGACAGGGGATGTCTAGGTCAAAGTCAGGAGTCCTGGAGCATCAGGAGTTAGTTTCTCTGTGCATAAAACCCCTTCTGTGCCTAAAAATCTGTTTCTCTTGCCTGAATGTACCTGTTCAACTAAAAGGCACTTATGAGGCTGATCATTATATAAAACCATTCACCTGAAAGCTATTAAAATCCAGTTCCCTACCAGAGCACAGGCAGGAGCACAGGCTGTCCTTCGGGAGTAGGCACCGCCACACTGAACCCAAAGTGGCACCAGGGCTTTTGAGCCTGTGATGAGAGACCTCATGTTTGGGTTTTCTGAGGCAGTGACAGGGCTGTCTCACTTAGCTCTGGGCATTTGCACTGCAGATGTCTACACCAGAGCTACTCATTCAAGACTCATTTTGACTACAGGTGAGGAGAGAAACTGACCTTTGCAAGCTTTTTCATCTGTGAATTTTAATATCCGAGAAAGTGTTCCTTTTGCTACGTAGATATATGTTTGCGTAATTTTTTTTATGCAAACAAGATTCTATTAAAAACTACAAATAAAATCCTTATTCTCTCGAAAGTTAAGTTTTCCTAGCAATCGATTCCAGTAATAATGACTCCAGAGGCATGCTTCTGCAAGACACTGATGACAGTGGTCTGCACTTGAACTTCATCCTTTCACAGTTTACCACAAAATAACGAGGATACTCAAGATCCTTGGTTTAAGCAGGTACTTAGTTGCTTTTTTGGAATGGGGGCCAAAACATTGAGATGATTCCTCAAGCTACAGCTATTTACGATATAGCTTCATATGCAGAAACATCAGGGCATTTTATATTAAGCATTTTTGCAGGACAGAGACTCAAGTTATTCTTGCATTGAAACCTCTCACTTCCACATAGAAAATTGAACCAACTGTCAGGCTTATCACCATGAGCCCACAGGTAAACAGGAAAGAGTTTCAGTTTCACAGTCTCAAAGAGTGCAAAATATATTGAATCAGATCCTAAAACCTAATGAGATTTATTTTGCTTCTTAGTTTGTTCTTTTTTTTAACAACAATCTTTTTTCAGTTTAAATATGGAAAATTAGAAATAGAGTGCTTTTTTTTTTTTTTTATTTTTTGATCCTTAAGGCTACAAATAGTTAAAATTTCGCAACTTTTAATTCACTATCATTTTAAAGAAGCTTTTACCTCTAAAACTGGAGAAAGAAACTTTCAGAATGAAGAAACCAGCATATACTTTTGGTAAAAAACCATTAAATTTTAAAGTCCTGGAGTATTATATGATATAGTGAGTATATGCAGTAATTAAAGCTGTGGTAGAATATACTGTTCTATATCATATTATAATTAAAATAAAATAATTTAGTAATTAAAAATAATAATTACTACTACATGGTAATCAATTTGATGGCACTCAGTTGTTAATGTAAAAATTTCTTTAGAAAGCATTTAGGTGCTAAGAAAACATCCCTCTGAAGACTAGTCATGTCTTTCAGAATGACTGTGAGCAGTGGTGTAAATTTTTACAGATGAGTTTCCTTTGGGTGAAGTTTTAGCCCCCTGTAAGTCCACACTTGGCTTCTTATTGAGCTCAGTAGGGACAGGTGTTCACCTTTAGAGTCTTCCCTGGAGCTGCCTCAAGCAGTCTATGAGTATTTAGGTTACTGCTTTTGTTGGTAAGAATCTGCATGACTGTGTTTTCCTGGGAGACAGGGACATGACTTTTGTTTAAGACATTTTAGACTAGTTTGGTGATATTTAGACTTTTTTTTTTTTTAAGTGATGTTAGAAAGCTCCTCAGTATCTCTCCAGTGCAGAGATCTTCCTCTAGGGTCAATCTGCACTAGCCTTGAGGGTGACCTGAATGTGGCTCTGGTTCCTGGAGCTCAGAGGAAGCAGATGCAGATGAGGATTTGATTTGCACAAGGCCCTGAGGGCACCCCAGCCTCAGGACATACCAACCCTTTGCATAAAAGTAGAGGAAAAATAAACAGTCTTGGGGAGCTGCACTAAGGCTAAATGTCGTTATTCTTTAACAGCAATGTTATTCCCATAGAAGCAAACATTGGCTTCTCTTCTGCAGATAAGGAGGGTCTGGGGTAACACACAATTGCTTAAATACAGGACCTGCTTTGGGTGTCTCTGATGGACCCAGCCTGGTAGGCCATGAAAAAAGGAAGGTCTAACCATGCGAGGGCATGACACAATGTTAGCTGCGACATGAAAACAAGCGAGAGGCAAGCTGTCAGTGCACCTTCCCAAAGGGCCCTTCATCTCAGCTTGAGATGCACTGGGAAACAAAGAAAGCTTGCACAGGTGGTGATGGAGAGGTCTGTAAGTACAGTGATATGGGAGTGTGAAAAGAGTAGTAGAGAGTGGGCAACCTCAAGAACATCCTGTGCTTTGGGAGTGAGAAGATGGAAGGGTAAATCTGTATGGAAGTGAGGGAGGGTGGCGGGAGCAAGGGAGGCTAAGAGAAGGCCCTGAATGGTGGAAGGAGAGCAAGCAGAATAGAATGGGAGGAGAGAGGCTCTGGTGACATCCCTCCTATATCATAGCAAAGGGGAAGGAAGGGAGAAGAGTATTCTGAAAGACTTTTGCTTCTCTGTTATCCAGAGCCAAGAGGTCTTCAGCAGGTCTCCAGGCCTCATGCACTTGGTCCATTCTAGGCAGGCAAGATCACCATGGCATGAACTGTTCCACAGCAAGGGGGGATTTTTTGAGGGATGAATGGAAGTCAGGCAACCAGTGAATAGAAAGGAGAGACCCCTGCCTCACAATCAACCTGATTATCTCCAAGCTCTCTAACACCCACCCACCTCCAGACCTCAGAACCGAGCTGTGATGCCAGCAGTGACAGGACAGACACAATACGTGACAGACAGAGCACATTACTTTGGTGCTCATCATCCAGGTGGCAGAACTCATTTTGCCTGATGCCATTGATGTGTGTCCTATGACGCTATAACATATCTAAAGAAACTTCAGCCCTCAGTTGTGACTGGTTGTCCATTTCAGTGCTAACATGTAATCATCTGTGGAGCTCTCCAGAAAGAAGACATTCCTATTAACTCTTCAGGGAATAAGCAGATAATGTCGGCCAATTATTTCTAAAGCCAAATTCATAATCCGGATGTTCTAGTCCCGTGAAGGGGTGGTATGGTGAGAAAGAAAACCTACCTAACAAGGTTTTTTTGCATGGAAGGTGTGGCCTGATTCTTTGTCCAATGTCACAGCCTTCAAGGGTCAAAACATTTTGGTTTGTAGTGATTTATACTCTAAAATGCACATTCATAAGGTTTTGTCCAAGAGCAAGTGAAGGGAAAAAAAACCTCAAAGCCAAAAAGATTCATCTCAGTGTTTTCAAACTGACATGAATTTTCATTTCATAATAGGAAATTTCAGTCACAGGAAATGAGTGCTGCTGTCTAATTCAGTGGCAATGATAGTTGCACATGATTTGGATCTTTGGTTTTTTTGAGATGGGCCTTCCGTCTCCTGGGGGAGCATTTCAGTCATTGGACTGCAGTGTAGCTGGGGGTCAAGATCTCTCCAATTAGATCTATTGTACCACATCCAGGGAAGCTTCCTAATTTTTGCATTGAGGTGAGTATCCTGGTTACACCCCAGAACCGAACTGTCTCAAGACCTTCAGCCTTTTAACATCTCCTCTCCCTCCAAACACACTCACACATGCCCCTTGGTTCCTATGCAAAACTGGAGGCATTCTGCAAAACAGACTCCTGGCATGTGGTTTTCTTGCAGCCTGAGCAAGGGTTCCTGTGCTGTATGAAGGCAAAGTAGGAACAGGTGAGGCCTTATTGCAAGCATGGGGTGAGAAGTAGTCTAGGAAGGAAGAGAGGGAGAGTGATGGCAGGTGGCAGAGAGGAGTTAATATTCTTGATATACAAGGAGGATGTAGAAACAAGAGAGTAGGGAAAAGGGGAAAGAGCCCTTAAACAGGATGAAACCTGCAAATCAGGAATAACAGGGTTCATCAGATGCACTGTGGCATGCATCAGAGTGCAAGTTCAGATGCAACATTTATCTTTTCTGTTCTATATTGTACAAAATACTGAACTACCCTCTGTGCAGAATGAATCTGCAGTCTGGTGACTAGTTACCATTCCTGGGAGGGTGGGGATGCTTGGATTGAGAACCAAAAGGTGCCTCAGTTTCCTGCAGCTGAAACTAAAACCCACTTTGTAAAGCATCAGAGCTCTGAAGCATCAGAGCTCTGCTTCCAGGTCTATGGATGCCACTTACAGCATCCCCTGTGAACCTAGTACTGACATTTTTAGAAAAAATAATCCCATGTACTTGGGCTGAAACTAAAAATTTCATTGTCACAAAATAAAATACATATTTCTTTATTCACTGAAAACTATTGAAATTTACATCCTTGATCCTCAGCATGTTGGGGTTTTTAAGGTTTTAATCACTCTGTCATTGCCATTTTGATCACTGCCTCCATTGCAGCAGCTCACAATCTC